TTCGGCCAGCGAGTACGACTACGTGAGCTTCCAGTCGGACATCGGCGCGTACCAGAGAGGGCGCTTCTACACCAAGCCGCCGCAGTGCGTGGACATCCCGGCCGACCTGCGGCTGTGCCACAACGTGGGCTACAAGAGGATGGTGCTGCCCAACCTGCTGGAGCACGAGAGCATGGCGGAGGTGAAGCAGCAGGCCAGCAGCTGGGTGCCCCTGCTCAACAAGAACTGCCACCTGGGCACGCAGGTCTTCCTGTGCGCGCTCTTCGCGCCCGTGTGCCTCGACCGGCCGATCTACCCGTGCCGCTGGCTCTGCGAGGCCGTGCGCGACTCCTGCGAGCCCGTCATGCAGTTCTTCGGCTTCCACTGGCCTGAGATGCTCAAGTGCGACAAGTTCCCCGAGGGGGACGTCTGCATCGCCATGACCCCGCCCAATGCCACCGAAGCCTCCAGACCCCAAGGTAAGGGCGCTGCCCGGCGCCTCTGCGGACCCGGGAGCCGCTGTTCTCCATCGGGTCTCCCTTTCTTCGTATCCGAGAATAGGCGAGCGCATAGCCGGAGAGCTCGCCTCTGTCAGGGTAGGGTACTTGCCCGTCCTACGCCAAAGTTTTTAATTCTCCCAAAGGGGGATGCTCCCGCCGGCAAAACTCGAACGTCAAAGTGGGAAGCTCAGAACGGCCGAGCGAACCCTAGGCGCGGCCTTATTTTCACAGGGTTGGAAAGCAACTTTAAACTACTTTCTTTAGCTGCGCGAATCTACACTGACCCGAGGGGGAGAGGTTTAGACGTCTCAGAGATTTCTTCACCCTTTCTCGTAACAGCTCAGTTTAGGGATCTTCGGGACTTCCTCGCATCCCCCGTTTCTCCCATTCACACAAATCCTCAGGTAATTAGGAAGATAGAAATGTAATCACCTCATTGTTGGTCTCCTCCGTGGGGAGTGGGAGCTGCAAACGGGGCTCTGCAAATTCCTACCCCCTGGGGACCTGAAGTTCTGCTCTGAATCCTTTTTACTCAAAGGGCAATTCTTGAGTGGCAGAAAAAAGAAAGATCCATGAAGACAAAAACCCCCCGAGAACACCCTATCATGGTGGCCTGACTTTTATAGGAACCAGTTCAGCCCAGAATCCCATCAAAGAAGAGCTGAGTCTCAGAGCTGGGCCGAGGACCTGAGATAGGGAGCTGTACCCAGGTGTGCTTAGCCCAGAGACCCGCATTCTGGGGGCTTTGTGGGCAGCGGGGAGAACTGAGCTCATCTGGAAGTGTTCAGTGTCTTTTGACCTCTGTTACTGCTGCGAAAAGAATGAGCAAGCTGTCAATGGCTCCCCGAATGAGGATGAGGTTAGATGCGGGGGAAGAATGCCCTGAGGTTGGTACCTCTGCTCCTGTTTGTCCTAGGGAGGGAGATGGCCCCAGTGGGTGGGGGCACAGGGATAGACCCTGGCCTGGATGGGTGGGGTGAGCAGCCCTTTCACCTGTGCTCTCAGGGCGAGACTTTCATAGAGGCAGCTCTTTGAAAGCAGCTCTGAGCAGTGATCCAAAGCGAAGCAAGTTGTGTCCTTTGGGTACGGAGCTGTCCTCGTCGTCCTCAGGTTTCCCTTGCCTCAGGAGCTGGGGATGAGGGGCCTTGCTCTGGAGGCTGTGACCAGCTCTGCTTTGGACTGAGTCCAGTCTCGGTGACCTGTGGTGGCCTCTTTCTGGGGGCTGTTTGTGGACAGAAGTGGAGACCTCTGGAGAGCAGCTTGTGGGAGCAGCTGCGGCCCCGGGGAAGGATGGAGCACTGGAGAGGGTACCTGGTCATGAAGGAAAAGAGCCCCCCTAATCCCGCTGTGGGGTGGGCAAAGTCCGCTGTTGCTGACCCCGGGGTGCCTCTTTCGAGGCCACTGTCCCCTTGTCTGCTCTCTTTCTGGACCTGAGCTCAGGCTGTCTCCTCACAAGTTCTGTGCTGATCTGAGAGAGAACTGCTGGGAGAGGTTCAGTCAGGAGTTGGACTCGGGACTGGTGCTCTCCCCGTGTCCTGAGGGGACCCAGATCCCTGCCCAGAACTGCAACCCCTTGCTGTGAGGGACCCTACGGTGGCTTCCCCAGCTGCCTGGCTGCTGTCAGATGAGCCTGGAGGTGTGTGAGTGTGTGTGTGTGTGTGTGTGTGTGTGTGTGTGTAGGGCAACTTGAGAGACTCAACACTTGTCCTCAAAGCCTTCTGGCTGGTGACTCTGGGATAAGAACTATAGTATTTTTGAATGACAATGAATACTGTATCTCTCTATTGATCATTCATTTATTTTTGGTATTGAGGATTGCACTCAGGACGTTGTGCTTGCGAGGCAGGTGGTGGCACCACTGAGCTAAATCCCCAGCCCTAGCTTTTATTTATTTACCTTTTATTTTTTGAAATTAAAACTGAATTTTCAATGCAGCATCACACCCTCATATACTTAAGACTGGTTTCTGTTTACATTCGTGGGCATAGAGAGCTTTTGGGCGACAACATGTTATTAAGGCTTAATCTGATGAGGAAAGACTCGAAAGACCTCCTTCTCCCTAAAGGCAGATGCCCAAGCCTCATCAGCTTCTGTTATAGGACAGGCAATTGTTCTTTTTCCAGGAAAGTGACTTGTAAGTCTTGCATTCATGTTAAACTTGTTGAATTCCCAGGCCAATAAATTGTTCCTCTTTCCTGCCAGGTTTACTGATGGAGTGCTTTAGTTTAGTGCTGTTGTTTTGGCGTGTTGTGCATTAAAACCACTATGCTGGCCCAGATCATGGAGGCTACAGTGCTGTCACTTCCCCATGGCCTCCCTTAGGATCTCTCCATCCATCTCTCCTCAGCTGTCCCGGGAAGATTGGCTCTGTGTGTGTGTGTGTGTATGCACATTAATTTAAAAAGTTCACTGAATTCTTTCTCCAGTGTTAGGCTTTCTCTTCTGAAATATTAATAAAATACAAAACCTTGTGCTGTTTCATTCATCTGCTTTAAACATTATTGTAAACACACCTTAAGACAGTGATTCAGCCTTGCCTTTCAGGTAGAGGCCTGGGTAGGTTTCTCTTGCCCAGGCAGCTGCAGGGCCCCAAGGACACATGAGGAGGTGCAGATTAATATTACATTACACATTCCTCTCCTTTCTCCAGGAAAAGATAGTCCAGAGTCTGGCTGTAAGAAAAGTCAAGATGGAGAAAGCCATGTTGAAAAACACACTGAGCTCCCCGATGGGAGGTCTTGCTACTGAGAGTCCCTGAAGTCCAAAGGTGTAATCAATGGGGCTGGGGAACATGCCCTTGTGAGTGCAAAGCCTGTGGATCCAGGGAGCTGCACAAGCATTGGAGGGGAGAGGAACTTGGCCTTTCTGTTTGGGTTTCCCTGGCCTTACTACTTCTTGGGTTAACATTATATATGTAGAATTTTCCAATTCAATAACTTCTACTTAAAAATATAAACAAGGATTAGAAAAACTAAACAAGGAAAGCACAAAGCACAGCTCACTCTCTTGAGTGCATAGCCCACCCCCCATGGAAGCAAGAACCATGATGGGAAATTCCAGGCAAGTTTTTTCTTTGGTACGAAACATCTCCTCCAGAATTCAGCCTCTTGTTCTGGGTGCAAAGCATATTTCCAGCATCTGCTTGGAGCGTGTGCTTGCCACACTGAGACTGCCCGCAAGTTCAGAGGAGAAGAGGGTGGGAGAAGAGAATGTTGGGACAGACTCGGGTGTGGCCTCCGCGGGGCCTGCAGGATCCTCTTTGGATCTGGATGGAGAGGTCTGGGGAGCCACTGTGGCCTGCAGGAATCCTGCCCGGGTCAGGCTTGTGCCTTGCGGCTTGCTCCTGCTCCATCTTGGGGGGCGGCTTTGCCCGCTTCAGGGTCAGAGCCGTGGGGGCTCGGAGTGATGGGAGGCACTGCTGCAGAAGCCCATAGAGAGGGGCAGGCGAAGAGGAAGACGGAGAGCATCGCCATCCCGTCCCCCTGCTTCAGTCTCAGGGGCACTGTCCTGTGCTTTGTAGCTGTGGCACAGTTCGGCCTGACGGCGTGGCCTGCTCTGGACTGTTCTTACAGTGGGTGCTTCCCTCGGCCCTCTGTGAGCTCCAAGTTGTATGCTGGGTGATGATGAACAGGAGGAGGACAACAGCTCTAAGTCACGTTGGCCTTTCAGGCTCCACTGGGCGCGTTCCGCTGCCCTTCCAGCTCAGAGGCTGCTGGCCCTGGCCTCAGAGGTCTCCTCCCCGTGGCCCAGCCTGCCCTCCCCACACCCCTCCTCTTCAAAGCCTTCACAGTCACTCATGAAAGACCCTCCAGAGGGTGCCTCCCAGGCCAGCTACCTCCTCCATTTGGCAGCTCCAGCCCTGCCTCCCCGCCCCCGCCCAAGCTCCCGCTGCTGTGGCCCTTGTGGCGGTGGGGGGGCGGCCTTCAGAGCTTTGAGGCTGAAGCTCCTGTATCCTGCAGAGCTGCTCACGGGGATGGGCCATCTTCTTGGGAGTCTGCACATTGGAAGGGGGCAGAAATCGGGGGGCGGGATATGGGGATACCTAAAGGATGGGGAAAAGGACCAGAAAGAGATGACTGAAATAGTCTGTTGTGATTTATATGCCAGCTTTTTCCAGGATCTCCTAGCTGCCCATAGCCAGGGTTCCCAGGACCTGCCTGCACCGACTTGGATAACATTAGTCTAAATGTGTCACATTCAGGGTCTCTAGACCGAAATATTTAAGGAAATGATGTGCCTGTTTGTGGCTTAGATCTTGGGTTCAAGAGCCTTTCTTTTCAATTCTCAGCTCACCTTTCGAAAATTCTAGAAGACCCTGTCTGCTTTCAGCCTGCTGCGCATGATGATCTCCTCCTCAAGGAAACCCTTTAACTTACAGTTTCTATTTTCCCTCTTTCCTTCCTAGGTATGACTGTGTGTCCTCCGTGTGACAACGAGTTGAAATCTGAGGCCATTATCGAGCACCTCTGTGCAAGCGAGTTTGGTAAGAAAGGGTGCTGGGCCACCTCTTGAGGGCTTGGGATCCAAGTGTGCTGCTGGCCTGTGTCCCCAAGGACAGAAAGCCTGTGGGTACCTCTTGTTGGAAATTTCTATTCTCCACCTCCATCTTCTCCCAAAGGCTGCTTGTTCCAGGCAGATAGAAGACAGGACAAGAAAGGGGACCAGCCAGTCTCTGTTCAGGTCAAACTGCTTCTGCCCTTCTGCGTGAGGGGTTGTCACTGTACAGATTTGAGGGCCTTTCTCTAAGGAGGGCATGGGGACCAGTGGGGAGGAGCTAGGAGAGCACAGCATCTCTTTGGAAGCTGCAACGTACAGGAAGGGGGTTGGCCCCTCTCACCTGCTCTCTCCTACAGCTCCTTCCCACGGCTGACTCTTTCTATATCCACCCCTAGGTGTCAGCACTACTCTTCCCAGGATTTCTGTGGATGACTTCGGGGCACTGTCCTAAGAGGGGGACTATTTCAGTGCTTAAAAGTACCAGGGAGGGCCCCCAGGCAGGTTCTGCAGACAGAGCAAACTGACATCCCCGTGGTGGTGTGCTTTCCCTCCCTGCCTGCATCACTCTGGGTTGAGATAGAATTGCACAGGAGCACTCTAGGATCAAGGTGTGGTCTGGGGACAGTTTCCAGGACCTCTCAGGGATGGTCCCACACAGTCTGGCCTGCAGGAGACCCGAGTGCCAAGCACCCTGGGTATCTGTTCTCGGGAGAGGTCAGTGGGAACAGGGTCCCTCCAGCTCCCACTCTATGTCTGCCTCTGTCACTCATGGATGTGGAGAAGCTGCCCAGGCCAGGCCCGCTTTTCAGACCAATGCTGAATGATGTGGTTCTTCTAATTCCTGCATTGTGTCCTTGAGGTTGGATTGCTTACAGAATTCTTACCAGGAAAAGAAAAAGCATGAAGGTAGGTAATGTGAGTCTTGCTGTCTGTTCACAGCCCCTCTTCTGTGTTCTTCATCAGTTGTGATAAAGTGCACAGAAGGGTTTTGCATTGGTAAAGGGAGCAGCACACAGAAGTGGAAGGAAATTGTGCTTCAGAACGTCTGCGGGCCATTTGCAGTCATGCCTAAATTACAAGTTGAAGGATTTAGACCCTTCGCCACTGGAGCCTCACGAGAATGGACGTTTCTTGTGGTTTTGGTTCAATGTCCCTACTGCCTCCCTCATTCTTGGGGAAGGACAGTGGCACCTCCAAGAAAAATTGTTCTGGACGTTTTGCTGCTTATGTTTGAGTCACACTATTCTTTTCTTGGCCCTTTCAAATGAACTCAAGTAAAATTATAGAGGGCACCTGCCAGGATGCATGCCACATATGACCGCTCTACTGAGTGTCACTCAGAGCCACCGTGTGGCCCACGGGGGCGCCCCAAGCTGAAAGGTCGCCTGCTGTAACATATGTGGGTACACAGCCCCGTGTAACCCCAACAACAAGCCTTTCATCCACTTGGTTCCTTCCCAAAGGTGCATTTAGACATAGGAAAAACAATGACATACATACAATCTCTTACGAAACCTGACAGGAAGACTTTTATTGCCAGGCAGGAAAAATTGGCTCAGCCACTGTCAAGATCCCAAAGGACCCTCGAAGGTATAACAAAGGGGCTGCCCTCCTCTTCGGATGTGGTAAATCACAGCAATCACTTTTAGAAGTCGGCTCCCTAACATTTTACAAATCCAGGGAATATTACAGTAAGCTCTGAAAGGTGATGTGTTAGTAGACAGTTATGCTCATATGATTTTATCAGGGATGAGTGATATAAGCCCTCGGCACCGAACGCGTAGATGTGGCTTCCCAAAGATCTAAAAATTCAGTGTATTTGATAGTTGGTATCTGTGTATCCCTCCATTCAATGTTTATCGATCACAAGTACTGTGCTTGATATTGTAATCCCAAAATACCTAGCCTAAATTACAATTTAATTTTTAGGTTTTAAACATCCAGACAAAATACCAGTCAATGATTTGCTAGAAAATTGTGGCATCAGGTTAGAAATGAGAAGCTGTAGATGGGGCTGTAGGAACTCAAGGCCAAAGGTAGTGTTAAGGAGCTGAAAAAAAGTGGATCCACATTTTTGTGCTCAAAATCTTTGTTTGAAACTCACCAACTCCAAATCATTAACAGATTTTCTTGCTGTTCTCACAGTTGCTCACCAAAATTTGGGGGACCTCAGGCACATGCCCTAGTTATATACTAGACACAGGGCGTGCCCGAGGTCTGGGCTGAATGTGGCAGGGCTGACCCTGTACAGAGGAGATGAAGGTCCAGGAGACACCCTGACCTTTCAGCCCTTTCCCTGCTGCAGTAGGTACCTACCAGGTAGTTGGCCAGCCCCCAGGGTGCTGCTTATGGGAAGTAGGGTGGAAATAACCAGTCAGGTCCAAGACTCTTAGTAATTAACTATTTGGGATTCTGCCCTCTTAGCCCAAGATTAATTTTTTCTTGGTTTCCTAGAACTTCAGAGTTTGTCTAGAACCTTCAAGGTCATATTACCAAGCCCTCTCTTTTGATAAAAAAGGAGTCTGACTTCCCCAACTGGAGTCCTTTCACTCCTTCCAGCACGGCCTTCCTCCCAGGATGGTGAACTGTCAGGGCCTTGCCATTGAGGTGCTGATGTGTGCAGCGCAAGTGTGATACACACCAGACTTCTTTGATCAGGGTGAAGGAGAGACTTTTCTTTTTTGGTTTTTGTTTGTACTGTTCTTATGAAACAATAAATAGGATTTTTCTCCCTCTCTCTCTGCAGGGGCTGAGCTTAGCTTTGCCCTTCTTAGCACCCTGGAGAATGCAGCCTTGTTGGGAAACTTGTTTCCTAGCTCATTTCATTTCAAGTAAGTGAGGCAGTCAGCCACGCTGATGGGATTCAGTTAGGAAACAAAGACATTTGACAATGGGAGCTGACACACAGCAGAGAAGAGAAGGAATGTCTGACTCTGTACCCCAGGGATCAAACTTTGCGTTAAGCGGTCCTGACGTCCCGGTGGGAAGACATCAGGTTGGTGGAAGGCTCTCTGTGAGCTCCGCATTTTCTGGGTCAGCACGCACCCTCACCCTGCTGCCAAAGCACCCTTGGACTCTCGCGGCTTCCGTGGAGCTGGATATGCCTTGCCCATTCCCTTCTCCTCCAGCAATGCATTTGTAACCCTCTGTCAGCTCTGCCTGGCCATTCATCTCTCCACCCTGCACTGTACCCCCTCAGTTCAGAGCACATTTTTTTCCCCAACAGGGAAAATCATCAGCAGAAAAGCCTGTGTGCTGATGCTCAGGAATGCAGCTGGATCAGCCTGGATCAAGCACCAGATGTGGGAAGCCAAAAGTTAGATGGTGCGCAGTCTCCAAATTCAACATGGCGACCAGCTTGCCTGCTGCGTTTCAGTCAGGACGCCCAGCTCTGCTTTTTGTTCCCTGTGCTTTCCTTGCTAGATGGCAAAAGGGTGCTGCCCGTGCCTTTTCAACAGTCCAGTACAGCATTTGCCAGCTGCCACACTAATAATCCTGCTGTTAACACTCAGTGCCTACAGCCATCTTTTTTCTGGTCAGTTTGTCTCAGGGATGATTTGTAATTGTTATTAAGGTTAGTATCCCAGCTCTGGTCATTTTCTTGAGCTTCTTTTCCAGTTTCTTTGAACACCTTTAAGTGTTTCCGGTCGAAATTAGCATGGTGATCTCTAGTACTTTTGTTTAGAGAGTTCCAAGCTCCCTCTCGGACTATTTGAAAGTTTTTAGTTTGAGAGTTCAGGGGACAATTTCTTTAGCCTCCCCTGCTCTCAATCCCTCTTTTTTGGCAGTGGACAAAGACTTCTTTGCCCCCAGAAATTTTCCTTGCAATCTACAAGGGTTCTATTTTTGTTTATACATTTCCTCATAAAAAGAAAAAAATTGTGCTTTGCAACACTAAAATTGGCCAAATAAGAAAGAAAAAGAAAATCAACTCTCACAGCTAGCACTGGGAATATTTCCTAGAACAAGTGTTTTCCGAGGTTCTTGTACTGCCTGTCTGTCTAAATATTTTTTAAGGCGCCTGGCTGGGCTACTGTGAGGAGGGCCATGCATACTCCACAGAACAGTTTGCTGTCTTGCAAAAAGTAGGGTGAGGCTTTCCAAAGCAAACCTGGGTTTCCTTCTGAAAATGAGGAAGACTGGCTACCAGGATAGAAATTGCAACATCTGTAAGTTGCCTGAGAGTAGGGTCTGTGTCTGGTGCCATATTTTACCTACTGTGAGATGCCTGTTAATCGTGAGGTGCACTATTCATTTTGTACCACTGACAGGGAACATGCATTTTGTGCTAAAATGTGAGGAAATTCTCAGTCCTAGAGTGGATAAAATAAGGCCTGTTTTGTACTCAAACAGTCCCTGGCACAGCATCTCATACATGATTGGCATAAAATAAACATTTGTCAGAACAGCGTGTGACTGACAGGGGATGGTGAGGATCTGGACATTGGACTTCCTTGTTTATAAAGTAGAGTGCTTCTTTTCAAGCCAGTATATTGATTGAATTCAAGCAAAACTACATACCCTGTTTGGGGTCACTGAGTGTCTGTGTGTATTTTAAAAAGAGTCCTGGTATCCAGAAGTTTAGTTTGGTCAAAGTAAAATTTAATAGGCCCTGGAAATGGAGCTGTTATTCTAAGGTAGGGCTGGCAGGCTGAAAACGATGGGATTGTATTGTCACTGAAGATGTTTAAAACATACATGCCATCCCTGGGTTGGGAAATGCTTAGAGCAGGCTGTGATGGTGCTCACCGAGCCAGAAGACCTGAGAGACATTTCTTCAGCGCACTGCAGATTTAACTGTGGCTCATGGGCTGTCTCATCCCAGATACTCTCCCTATGTTTGGGGGTGGGTGACACAGGGCAGAGATCACGGCTGAGCCAAAGGCCTTCAAAGCCTCCCAGCCAGTGGGATATTTGTAAGGTCAGTTACTTGCTCACTTGTGACTCACAGAAGCATTCCTGAGCCAGCCCCAAAGCTGGGGACCT